GGAAGCATAAAATATTACGTCACAGAGGAATCCTTACCCAGACCTGTCCGCTGTCCATATGCTCAACAGCCCCCCCTCCACCCGTCTACTCCTCACCCCCGATCACACCTACCTCCGTCATCAACCAGCCATCAGCAGTAACATCCGGCATCGTGAGAAATATTCAAGAAATACAGACATACTACAGGTATACATGTTCAGTATTTATCACTAATGTATACTGTTATCTCCTACCGAGTTAAGCCAGTGAGCGCCCGTCTTCATGCCGCTGCCATTATTGCTTATGGTCGGTTACACTTCGGAACTCTCAATGATGGCACTTATTTAAGGTAAAATTCTGGATAATATTCTCGTGCCCTTTGTCTGCGGTTTTAAAACATTCCCAATTTTTTTCTTTATTTTTATTTTATACTTTATATAAACTTTACACAAGGAAAATTCTAAAGTTATCTAGAACGCACAGACGACACCTGTTGGCATAAATGTTTGACTTTTATAGAGAAAACTCAGTAATTTACCGCCGCGCCGTGGTCGGTTACGTTCCATGACCGAATCTAAAGAGCCAATTCAATGGACGACGCCTCGACAACCTCCCTGAAAGGCCAAAAGAGTGAAAGAAACTTCACTTTTCCCTCAACTGTGACAAACTGATTACTTAATGCCTCAAGATTGACGCTTCTGGTGTATCTGTTCACTTTTAGTCTCTTACTAATTTGGTGATATAAAACAACATGCAGGGTGTCCACAAAGTTATGTTCCAGTTCTAAAATTCCATTACAATTAAACCTGGCGCCCACGGTCACCCTATATTACGCCCTTATACTTCATCTTGTGCGGGTATATCAAGAATCATGTTTTCCAGTGCCCAGTAGTTGACATAGAAACACTTGGTACAACGCTAACTAATGGTGGACCAAAGTGGAGTATTGATTGGATGCGCTGCTCACCCCAAATTGAGTTACATTAAACATATTATAAAACTCGATTTGTTGAGCAATTAAAAAAGAATTCTCTACATCATTGGTTTTTGTAATACAATTTTAAAACCGGGACAATTTTATGGCCACCCAGTACAGTACCGGTACATATACAGTGTTTTAAGCTGGTAGAATTTACACGTGTGAAAGAATGACAGACAGTGCAGTTATGGTTCTAAAACAATATGAACCGTAATGTGCGTGCGTGTGAGTGAGTGAGTGTGCGTGTGAGTGAGTGTGTGTGTGTGTGTGTGTGTGTGTGTGTGTGTGTGTGTGCGCGTGCGCGTGCGCGTGTGTGTGTGCGTGTGCGTGTGTGCGTGTGACGTCGAAGAGGTAATTAAGCAGCTCAACTTTTTAACAATAAAGGAGATAAGCCAAAAGAACTAGTAATAAACGATGGGTTAATAACCAAATGACGATAATGAAGGAAAACAAACAACCCAAAAGAGAAGAATGGCAACTGGAGAGAGAGAGAGAGAGAGAGTATCGCAAGGGTTACACACGCCGATTTCACCTTTATAACACAGTAGGTAAAGACCACAGGCAGGTTTAAGTCATCATAAGAGGGACGGATACAAAGACTCTCCTCTTCAGATTCACCTTTTCTCAGCCTTCTTATACTTAAAAAGACTTCATCGCCCCCCATGATTTCATAGCTCCTCTCTATGACCCCCCCCCCTTAAGACTCACCTCTTCTTGGCCTTCCTGGGAACCTTCTTAGGCTCCTCGGGCGGCAGATACATGACGATTCTACAGTAGTCCTTGAACTTCATTCTTCCTTCATTCACACGCCTTCTTTCCTTCCTTTCTCTCTCTCTCTGCCCTCCGTCTAAAGGAAGGAGACCTACTGTGCTGATTTTACTCGTCTTCCTTCACTAGTCATTGCTGCTGTTTTTGTTGATTGTAATTTGAATTTTCAAATCTTCGTAATTGTAATGACCGTTGAAGTCGTTAATCCAGATAAAAAATTATTCACTTTTCTCTATTATGTCTTCGTTCCTGTTATTTTTATCTTCCTAAGATATTATTAAATTACTAGTTATCATTACCGTCTCACGCGGTTGATCTTAAAAGAGATATATCCAGTTCAAAACCGGTATGGGCAGTTTATAGACAACGCTAACGGCTTTAACGGTTTCTGTGGGTATTATTAACGAACTTTTGAGAAATCTTTCTGTCTTGTCAGAGGTCTTGAGATGTAGTTGGCCCTTGGGATCATTGCCTCGTTTTGTGCCACACTGTTCGTCTTGACCACAACTGTAAACTAACACATTTAATGGTAGACTATAAATCGATCTTGAACTTGTCCAGAATAGGTTTATGGACTTTATTATTTAAATCTTTGGCGTTTGTTAAGTTACAGACGAGTGATTGTACAGTCGGTGTTGGGTTGGGTTGGGTTACGCTAAGCTAAGTTAAGTTAGATTAGGGTTGAGATGTTAAGCTAGGTTAGATTAGGGTCGAGAGGTTAGGTTAGGTTTTATGTAGGTCAAATTACAAAAACTCCCAAAACATCTTATTCTAGACATCGTCCTCTTCAAAAATATTTAGTCCTTTATTTTTTTTTTCACAGAATCTTTTATATAATCTGCTAGACAATTAACAAAACTTAATATTATACAGCGACTCAAAAGTAAATAAGTTAACAAAACCAAACAGAGACACCCCCCTCCCCCCCAGTGGTATGATGTAGGTCGATAACTTATTAGCGGGTACCTGAATAAACACACAAGGCACTGAGGTCATGACGGCCCACTAACCTCTTCCCTCCCCCCGCCTCCACCCTAAGACTGTGTCATCTTCCCAAACTCATGTAATATTGACAGTAAAGAACTCAAGTTGTTTTTAATCTAATGCCGACAACTACATGGTACTCGGTGCATTAGCCAAGACACGGAACCTCGTCAGAGAGAGAACGTGACAAAGTGTTTTCCGATATGATTTACCGCTGACCACGAGGATCTTGTCCACACATAGATGACAAACTCTGTATTGTCGTCAGTAACAAACAATTAGAGAAACTTATTATTTTTAGAACCAACTCCATTAAATCAACCTAACGAAGATATCCCCCCCCCCCTGTAACACCACACGGTAAACACCAGGTAGTCTCCACACGTAGGTTGTGTACCGCCCAGCCTCCAGTCTCCCATGACTAACACTCCTTGAGAGACTCCCACCTACACGCCCACCACACGTTACGCCCTGGGAACTACTGGTTGGTGGAGACACTTGCCCTGAAACACCATTGGCTGGTGGAGACAGCTGCCCTGAACACCATTGGCTGGTGGTAACAGCTGCCCTGAGACACCATTGGCTGGTGGAAACAGCTGCCCTGAGACACCATTGGCTGGTGGTGACAGCTGCCCTGAGACACCCTGGCTGGTGGTGACAGCTGCCCTGAGACACCATTGGCTGGTGGAGACAGCTGCCCTGGAGACACCCTGGCTGGTGGAGACAGCTGCCCTGAGACACCCTGGCTGGTGGAGACAGCTGCCCTGAGACACCATTGGCTGGTGGAGACAGCTGCCCTGAGACACCCTGGCTGGTGGTGACAGCTGCCCTGAGACACCCTGGCTGGTGGAGACAGCTGCCCTGAGACACCCTGGCTGGTGGTGACAGCTGCCCTGAGACACCCTGGCTGGTGAAGACAGCTGCCCTGAGACACCATTGGCTGGTGGAGACAGCTGCCCTGAGACACCATTGGCTGGTGGAGACAGCTGCCGTGAGACACCACTGGCTGGTGGAGACAGCTGCCCTGAGACACCATCGGCTGGTGGAGACAGCTGTCCTGAGACACCATTGGCTGGTGGAGACAGCTGTCCTGAGACACCCTGGCTGGTGGAGACATTCACCGTAAGAGACCCTAATAATCTCTAACCGGTATACAGAGACAGTTCACCTGACCAAGAGAGACAATTACTGTAAATGAGACCCCGAGCCACGGACACAGTTATCGCTGGTCACTAAATGAGCGACAGATAAGATCTATCTCTCCCTCGGGCAGGTCTTGTTTGTTGGGCCGCGTGTACGGGTCTAACATCCTTTGGCTGGTTCTCTCTCACCAAGATGTCAGTCAAGTCTTGCATTCCGTTACTAGCTTAGCACTAGATGAGGTGAGGTTAAGTTAGATGAAGTGACGTTAGGTTAGGTTAGGTGAGGTTAAGTTAGGTGAGGTTAAGTTAGGTGAGGTTAAATCAGGTTAGGCTATATTGGTTACAGTGTATACAGTAGGTTTGGGAGAGAAGCCATAATGATGGGCATCATAGTGCAAGTCAATCCCGCATACTCCCCTACCATCACCCTAGGAGCTTGTGCACTCATCCTCCCTCCCTACTCCTCTTCTCCGTTTTCCTGTTATATTCTTCTTCTACTTCCTCCTCCTCTTTTACCTTTCCTTCCCCCTCTTCCTCTCTCCTCCCCCTCTACTTATTCTTCACCTCCCTCCTCCACCTGCTGACTCAAGTGCCAGCCGGTTCATTATCTATTTGTTATATTTCAATCATCATGTTTTCTTACCTACAGTTCGTGAGTGTGAGAAAGACACTTTATGAGAGAAAATTGTGAGATAGTTCTAACCATTAGTGAGCAGTTTTCTTGTGTCACTTGTGCCTCTACAGTCTAAACCCTTTGATAGTACTTAAAACTAACCAAACCCGAACCTAAATCTTGATAATTCTTGTAACTAACCTAATCTAACCCTCGATAGCTCTTATAACTAGCCAAACCTAACCTAACCTTTCTCCTATAAGCTAAATAACACACACGCGGATATTGTTACATATTATTTACAATGGCAATTCGACAACACGTAGCACCAATCACAATAGGAATATAAAAAACTCTTAGACCAATCAGATAAGAGAACAGTCCACACGTAGAGTCCGTGTTAATGAGCTGATTGGCTCACGTCCGTGTTATGCTTCATAAATCACCCAATCAGCATCAATAAATAGTCTATTAGTACGTTTTGATTGGCTTACACTCGCGTTACGTTCCGTCACTCAACCAATCCATGTAGGCGTGTAGGCGTATGATGATTGGCTTTTATCCGTATCGCGTTTCGTCATTCAGCCAATCAGAATCATAACACACAACACGTAATCGGATTTTGATTGGCTTATACCACTATTGAGTTTCATCACTCGACCAATCACAGGCGTTACACGGATGAAACTGTGAACATAACTCGAGGTTTTCCCACGACGAGGAGCGTCTTGTATCCGTGTTCTGTCATGGTTTAGTTATTTCCAGGTGTTTTTATAGTTCTGTTTACACATGATATTTTTCTATTGGTTATCTATTTATTTCCTAGTTTGTTTTTCATTTTTATACAATTCAACAAGGAGTAAACATATTCATTCACTATGATTTAAATAATAATCTTTACACAGCTATGATCGATATTATCAGTGTTATTTTAATCACTTTTTTTAGGCTTGAATATTTTCTTTCGATTTTTTTTACTATTGTTTATTTCAGTTTCTCTTTTAATATTTCTCAATTTATATTTCAGAATTAATAAATTATATTATTGTTCTAATGTTTTGTTTGGCTGTGGGATCATTCATTTCTGCTCTACTGAGTCTGTCACTGCCTCACACACGACCACAGGGACATACCACTACCACCACCCTTGTACCACCACAGTACCACCCAACCACCACGCCAATATACTATCATACTACTCCCATACAATTACCCTTACCACATACTACCACCACACCATCACTCTGCCACACTGCCCTATACTACCACCACATCATAACCCTACCACCACCACCACACCATCACTCTGCCACACTGCCCTATACTACCACCACATCATAACCCTACCACACTATACCATACCACCACCACCACACCCTCCCATCACCCAACCACACTACATTGGGCAGGAGGACACCGTGCCACCACACACCACAAGATCACGGTGACGACTGTGGTGGTGGTGGTGGTAGTGTGGACCCCGGCACTACGCGCAAGGTTACACGTGCCCCTCGGCCCCCTGCCCCGCTATCACCACTATTGACACCACCACCACCACCAGTAGTAGTACTAGTAGGAGTAATCGTATTATTAACAGCACAAATAGCACTAACAGAAGTACCAGTAGAGTGTAACGACAGTAGCATTAGTAACACACACACACACACACACACACACACACACACACACACACACACACACACACACACACACACACACACACACACACACACACACACACACACACAAATAATTTTTTAGAGTAGCACCGTACGCGAGTGTTGACCCCCAGTAGCAGATGCTGGCTAACCCTACGCCGCCACCACCACACCCCCTGCCCCTGCCCTGCCCCCAGCCACACACACGAAAGGTAACGGTGAGGAAGACGGGCACCTGCTGTTGTGGGTATGATGAACTGGTGAGGAGGAGTGAGAGACTGATGAGAGAGGAGAGACTGGTGAGAGGGAGTGAGAGACTGGTGTAGAGAGGAGAGAGACTGGTGTAGAGAGTGAGAGACTGGTGATGGGGGTGAGAGAGACTGGTGAGAGGGAGTGAGAGAGACTGGGGTAGAGAGGAGAGACTGGTGAGGGGGGGAGAGAGACTGATGTAGAGAGGAGAGAGACTGGTGAGGGGAGTGAGAGAGACTGATGTAGAGTGAGAGACTGGTGATGGGGGTGAGAGAGACTGGTGAGAGGGAGGAGAGAGACTGGGGGTAGAGAGTGAGAGACTGGTGAGAGGGAGTGAGAGAGACTGTGAGGAGGAGAGAGACTGATGTAGAGAGGGAGAGACTGGTGAGGGGGGAATGAGAGGACCTGTGGAGAGTGAGAGAGAGTGTTTTGAGAGAAGTGAGAGAGTTGTTCTATCTAGTGTTAGCACAGGAGGTAACAGGACTCCAAGAAACCTGTGATGTTAGGTGAGGTCACACTGGTTAACACTTCTCACTTGAGTCTGGGTCAAACAGGACACGAACCCTTGACGTAATGGAGAGATACACTCATTAGCTGGAGTGTAGCTGTATTATGAAATTATAAGAGACGGTAGATAACCAGTAGTATCGCAGCATTAGTGAGGTAGGTAACCATGGGTAATTAAAGAGGATGACATACAGGTAAGTAGACTTGAGGAAGCTGGAGTGAGGACGAGGCAGTCACACAGAACACACCCAGCTGGTCAGTGTATTGTTTACGAGTCTACACCCAAGTTGACCAAGAGTTGTCATGGCAACACAGGGTTAAAGAAAACGAGTGACGAAGGATAGAGAAGAGCGGTGACTACAGTATCACAACTGCTACTTCTACTATTACTACAGTACTTTCTTACGACCTTCATTGTGCAGTTTCCCACACTTCACATTCCTTGATCTTTGTGTGTGTGTGTGTGTGTGTGCGCTGTGTACTCGTGTATGTCATTACTAAGATCATCATGAAAGTGCAATTTAACCCACAAAACGGTACTGCTTCTCTCTCTTGATTATTCCAAATTCAATTTTGATGAAAATCGTACTAACAGGCTTCTTTTTACAACCACCACAACAACCATCACCACAATAACCATCACAACAACAACAACCACCACCACAACAACCACCACCACAACAATCACCACAACATGTCTGCTCTTACAAAAACACATCAACACACATATATACACAACCTGTTTATAAATGAA